CGCGGGCAGGGCTTATATGCTCCGAGAACGGACACTGCACTAGTGATACAAAACACAGGTCTGTTAAGAGCAATAATTTTAATATAGACAAATTATTATTAGGCTGGGCTACTGTACTTTTTTTTTTTTATGGCTGCCGTATTCGCAAGTATTTTCCAAGCAAATTGAGTGCACGTTTTTATCAGGTGTAAAATTACTGATTAACATGGCGGATAAAAGCAGCTCTTTTTTTCTTTACACCAACAATATACTATAAGAGTACTACTTACAGAACTCCCACACAGTCTTTGGCATTTTTGTCAAAAATCTTCTCTTCCAGATGAACTGAATCATGACGTTCACTCATGGTCGAGTCATAAGCCGCTTTTCCACTATCGGGCCAAACGGTTCTCTTTGCTTAACCGTTCCATTCGGTGCCGATCCGGGCAAGTCAGCACGGATACGGTTTCATTTTCCACTGTGGTGCCGATAAACAGCGATATGGACGATGATCAGATATTTCTGTTTTTGGGACTACTTTATCTGATATTTACTTCGTTCAATAACAGAAAAAAAGGCCTCAACTCTTGACGTGAAAAAAAAAATTTAATAAACCGAAGGCGACGACGGGTATAATATCAATAAGCGCAAATGTTTTCTCCACAGACCAAACTGTCTCAGACATTTTTTTTTCTTTTTTATATTGAACATAGTGTGGCCGTTTGATCAAATAGCGTGCTTTCGCTTAGCCAGCTATGGAGAAACTGGTAGACAGGCAACAAGAGTGGCGACGACGCACTCTACCAGCACGGCTCAGCACGGTTGTCTAACCGTGTCGAGAATTCCGGGCCGAGAACGGTTTGTAATTGTGCCAGGCTCACGTGGAAATACAACTGTAACCGTACCTGACAGTTCTTAGAACCGTTCGGCCCGATAGTAAAAAAAGCGGCTATATTCAAGCGCGAAGGAGAACCGTTTCACGGGGGATGCCAGGTGTTCGGGAAAAAAAAATAAATAAAAAAATTCGAATCTCAAAATTGAAAATCGAATGCCAACCCACCGAACGAATATTCAAATAATCGAATATTCTGGTCCAGCCCTAACGAATACCCACATTTTTGACAATACCATGGTGCAGTTAGTGCTACAGTAAATGCAGATTTGTAGATTAAAAAGTCTTCTGACTGTATCGTTGTGCACAGTGTTTCTCCTGTTTGTCAGCGCTGTATTATCTGCCTGTAAACGGAGTTATGTGTTCCTCGCTGAACTCAAGCGCTTCACACAGGATCTCACAGCACTGTTTAGTGCTGCGTGATCGAGATTCATCATCTGCTCTAGTGAAGCTCGCGCCGCCGTTTGAACTTTGATCCGAGCGGATAAACGCTCCGAGTGGCGCGCTTCAATTGACTAGCGCCCTTTCGTTCCGCCTTTGGCGCATAAACATTATATCGAACATCTATCGAACTCATTATCATTTATCGGGGAAATTTATATCGCGCGATAATTATCGTTATCGATTTATCGTGACGTTATGAAGTGAGTTTGGAGTAAAAATATGTTATTAAATGTGGTATTTTCACATGCTTTCAGATGGAGCAGCATTTACTACACAAGGTTCACTGACAAGCTACGCAAACAGCTTTCATAAATCGCAGAATGATTTTATAATCGCGCGATTAAATCGGTCTGCGATTATGAACGCGATTTTTTGCGTAGCTTGTCAGTGAACTACGGCTCTGTGTAGTAAATGCTGCTCCATCTGAAAGCACGTGATGGAGATTTACTACTGATTACAGAACTGGCTTTACTGACAAGATGCGCATGACAATCACATTCGATTAATCGTGCAGCATGCACACTTACAGCGACGATCTCCGCTTTAGATATGGTTGGAGCGATGCTCCTCATGAAGAGAGAGCATGTCCTGTGAAGAGGTCGAGGCCGTGGAGGCTGATCGTCCTTTGGTTTCTTCTCCTTTTCTTTCTCCCTTTCCTTCTGCTTCTCCGTCGGCTCCTTCGCATCAGCGGCTTTAAAAGACCAGAAACACAGCTGTCACAACCATGACACTTTGACACGGATGATTCATTGTCAGAAGCCTTGAGACTGACCTTCCCCCTCCTCTTCTTCCTCTTCCTCCTTCTCTCCCTCGTCGGGTTCTCTTTCTCTTTCTGAGGGTTTCTCCGAGCAGTGAGAGTTTGAGTCGGAGTCAGAATCGGATTCGCTGTCGGATGCACTGGCTTCATCTTCACTGTCTCCACTGTGCTTCCTCTTCCTCTTCTTACTTAGCTAGAGAGAGAAAGAGAATGTCAGAACACCGGAATGCAATTAATGCAAACAGACATCTAAGTTACGAAACAGATGGTACATCAACGAAACAAGGCGGCAGAACTTAGCTAACTAACCTTCTTGGGTTCTGGGATGGGTTCAGCAGGTGCTTCTTTCTCAGTCTTCTCTCCTTCACTGCCTCCTGCAGAAGCGGCTGCATCCTTCTCAGTGCCCTCATCACCCTCGCCCTATAGACACGAAATTAACCAGAAGTGTTACAAAGATCCTCAAAATACTGTCTTATCCTTTGCTCTGTTACGCAACAATCCCTTACCATCTTGTCTTTTTCAGTCGAGGGTTTGCGCTCAACATCCGCGGGTCTGGGCTCGTCCCGTTTGGGAGGTTCAGAACCAGGTCCACCGGATGACAGCCTCTCTCGCTCCTCCTCTTCCTCGTTGGGCTGTTCCAGGATGCGCAGGTCATTTTCCGTTCCTCCTTCCATCTTTATTACAGCTAACAGAGCCAAACGAAGCACATGCTTTGAGAAAAGGGCACGTGTGTAACTGACCGCCATAGTTCATCATTACCAGTGGACACCGTTTGGAATGACGAGACAATTTCTATTTTTTAGACATTTAAAACTAGCAAATGAAAAGCACTTCTCTATACCTGCATCTAAAATCTTGGTGATTTGCGGAGCATGCTCTATATCCAAAGAGATGGATTCAAAGGAGTTATTGTCCATCAGATACATGTAGACGTTCAGCCGGTTCTGTAGAGCACTGTGGGCTTCTGCTTTACGCCTCCCAGCCTCATCTGGGTGGTACTTAGTACGAAACCTGACAGGCAGACAGAGGAGAAAGAAGGACAAATGGGGTGTTTGGAGGGGGGAAAAAAACAGCATGTTAGCAACTATTTCTGAAGTCAACCTCACAAACTAGTCACCAAGAGACCTGCTAATTATAACCTGCCTTCTACATTTCTAAAAGTGCTTTGATAAATCTAAATTGGATCCAACAACCCATTATCCCACATAATTGGCCCCCTTTCAGTCATATGACTTTGTGGCTCTATTCTAAAACTAGTGAGCTGCCTAGACAGGCAGCATAAACATGCTCCCAATGTGAAGGAGCAATCATTTTGTTGCCTTCTAAGATGCCTTCTTTTAGCTAGATTCTAAGACAGCATCACATGTATCCTTCCAAGATGAAGCGATAAATACATTTACTTGATGGACCCTTTTCACATTTCCAGGGTTACTGGAAGCTGAAGTCATCATAGTTTGATGAACTTCTATAGTGGAGAACAGAAACTACAACAAATGTCATTTTTGCGTTTCCATTTGCTCCAATAGAAAAAGAGCATTTAGCATTTCTAGGACTTTTGTTTGTTCATTGTATTTTGCGTATAACCGTGTGCATGTAAAATATTAGATTAACAACATGTTAATGTCAAACCGCACTGAAATCAACTGTGTGAAGGGAGTACAAAAATACTGCATATGTACAGCGTTCCAAATCATTCCCTTCTGACGTTTCATTCCAGTTAAGATGCGGTCTTAGAAGGCAGCTGCATATTTAGGCAGTATTCAGCAAGACAGCACACTAGGTTTTGAAGAGCTTATGACACCAATTTGTCGGCTGAATTTTTAAGTGCACTTCTGTCAGTCTTACTACACATGCTATAAACAAAACTTGTGTTTAAGTGTGTGTTTGTGTATATACAGTAAGGTACACTCACCACCAAAGAAGTAGAAACAGAAAATAAGTAGTAAAACAACAATACAAACTGGTGCATTATCAAGAAACGAGAGTTGGGTGAAACATTTTCCATTGTGTGCACTAAATTTACCTGATGTACTCCCCGCATTACTACACATTTACACTGAGAGCGGTCTTCTCAGAGGAGTGTGTACATACACACCATTTCTGCGTTTTTGGGGAGGTTTGATTGATCCAAATATCAAAAATGAAAAAGAAAAAGGGGAAGAAAGGCATCACACACTACAGAAAATAAAAAAAAATCTTTCCGTGAACACGACGGTAGGTTTGGATTGTGAGTGTTCGACTGTCTAGCTAAAAGCCCTGGTACTTGGATTCTAATGGCAGCTGCATTGTGCGCAGTGCAAACCCTGACTAACTAACAGCGACTCCTGCGACGGGTCCAAGAGCTTTTCTCATCTTCCAATACCTTGTGGTGATGAAGGGAAGAAGGATTTTTGTTAATTTGTAAACCAAAGAACAATATGCAATAACCTGAAATGAAATGAACGTTAAAAATACAGGCAACAAGTCAATGAGGAGACCAATTCAGTTGCTGTGGAGACAAAATGATGAGATAGCAGACACTAATTAGAAATTATTATTATTATTTTTTTTTTTTTTAAATAATGCTATCAGGAGCATATAAACACTCAAACTTTAAAGGAGTAGTTCATGCAAAACAGAAAGAAAGTTGTAAATTTTGGATGAACTTAAATCCCAGAAAATAGAGATATTATTTTTTGTCAATATCGCACACCCCTATTGTCATCTACATATGCAAAACTTTTCAAAAACGCAAAATTTGCACATTTTTTGCACGTTTCCATCCAGCACTTTAAGTGATATCCTACTGGGACCCAGGCATACACTTCTGTCCTCTGTAGAGGGCATTATATTTTAAGTGAATTTCTCTGAAACCCTACATGTCACAGTTTTTAGTTTGGATGTCCTGTTCGAGAGCACATTCAGGGCTTTTCAGAGATATCACATGTTTGGAGGTTTGATCATAAACACTCGCTCTGCTTGGTCTTTAAATATGACTGATATTGACAGAATGATCACATTTAGCACTCTTAAGGAAATATGATAATGTTTTGTAATTATAATTTAAATCTGGCTAATTTTCTAATTGTTTGCCGTAAATAAACATCTCAGTTTATGGGGTTATGGGGTTTCAAATTAGAATATGACTTATGAAACAGGGCGTAATTTTCAAACATGTAGAGGACACCAGAACAAACATCGTGTTAATCAGACATTTTGGGGAAACACAACAAGAAATTATAGATCAATACTCAATACTTGTCCCAAGAACACATTAATATGCAAATTAGATTCAGTGTATAGATACATTGTATAGAATGGGAATACCAATTTATGGACATTTTACGCACATATTGCATAAAGTACAGTAGTATATCAAATCATTCATCATTTCATAACATAGTTGAGAATCATCTTTGTACAAAGTTTGGTTAAAAATGGCCTGAAACCTAAAAACTGATTGGTGAATGAAAAAAATAAACCATTGTTTTTGCCTATACATGCCTTTTCATGTCCAGTTATTATTATTTTTTTGAGTCCTGACTTAATCCTGGCGTCCTCTACAAAGCACATAGAATAAAATATTTTTTTTCTCCATTTGTTTCTTATGCGCCAACCAATGCAAAGGCATAAAAAACAAAACAAATTCACAAAACTTTTTCTGGTTCTCAGGAGGATATCCCAAAATTTGCATAAAAATAGGTGCATGGAAACATGGCTAGTAAAGCAAACTTCAACTTTTTTGAATTAAAAATATATATATAAAAAAAAAAAATTCAAAAGTGAAAAATGTTTAATCAAATGGGACGTTTTCAGCATTTTAGGCACATGATTAAGTGTGAATGTGTGCATATTTCAAAATATGCACACATTTAATACAACAAAAACATTTTTGTATCCCCCAATGTTCAAAACATGGTTACGGCCTTGCTCTTGAAAAATATCACACCCCAAGTGGACAAGAAATCTCTGCTCCGTTTCCCACAGGGTTCCTACACACTTTCCATCTCAAAACGCAATACTTTTCCAGACTCAAATCTCCAAACCTCACGGTAGATTTTCAGACCATATTTAACATAAATGGTTCATGCAGCATTATTTTCAGCTTTGTATTTGGTATAGTACAGTCATCTGTAAATATTTTCATTTTCTCACGTTTTTTTTTTTAATTTCATTTATTTTCTCGAAGTGACAACATACAGAGCCCCTAAAATAAATAAGAATAAAAAAAAAAAACTGACTTTTGCATGCACAGAAGAAACTCTTTTTGTGCCCTTAAACTATTCACATGCGCACAGGAATTTTTTGCATGCTTATGCATTACAATTTCTAGATTTATTTATATTATAACCCCTTTCCTTTGTGCGTCACTGCCATCTTACCGTGAAGAAAACAACAGCTTGGATGCACATGAATTAATAGAAAACTACTTCCTCAAAATGCGGCTTTCCTTAGGCTAGTACCTCTAATATCAAGGCCTAACGTCAAATTTAATGCATCCTCTGTGGCGGCGGAGAAACAATGACATGAAATGGGCTGACAGCACAATACGGCTGTGTGCACTGTCCTATTTGATAAGTTAAGTTCAAGGGTCTATAAAAAAAGACTGGCACTGTATACAATTTTTTTTTTTTTTTTTTTTTTTAAGTGTTCAAAACTTGTTTTTTTTTTTAGGGCAGTATGTAATATTTCAAGGCCTTAAGTCTACTTTGACGCATACTCTGTGGCGGCCAAAAAAACACAGAGAAAAGGTCTGATGGTGCAATAGATGACTCAGTGAGCATTTTCCTATATGCTAAGTTTAATGGTTTTTCGTACGCACATAAAAGCCTGTATATTTTTTATTTCTGTAAAGGACTTTGAGGTTCTGTAATACAGTGCTCATGAGAAGAAACCCAAAACGCTTAGCCCATAACCTGCATGAAAAAGTGCACCTTGAATTCATTCAGTCGTGTTTGACAATCACTAAACAGCAGCCATGAAAACACACTTCTTGTCTGATAAATTTATTTTCGTTCTATTATAGAAAACTAAATAGGGGCAAAAGTCTGGAAATGCAAAATTTTTTCCATACTCTGCTTTCTTTTTTTCCATACTTTTCCAGACCTGGAAATTACTCAAATCAAATTCCAAACCGCGTAGGAGCCCTGTTCTCAGACTTATTTTCCCAGTATCTGCAGGCATAATAACACTAGTGTCTTGGGCAGATTAACTCCCTCTTGCTCACCGGTCGTTCCAATCATCTCTGCGGCGGTCCTCTCTCTAGAAAACTAAATAGGGGCAAAAGTCTGGAAATGCAAAATTTTTTTCCATACTCTGCTTTCTTTTTTTCCATACTTTTCCAGACCTGGAAATTACTCAAATCAAATTCCAAACCGCGTAGGAGCCCTGTTCTCAGACTTATTTTCTCAGTATCTGCAGGCATAATAACACAGTGTCTTGGGCAGATTAACTCCCTCTTGCTCACCGGTCGTTCCAGTCATCTCTGCGGCGGTCCTCTCTCTCCCGGGACCGGTCATAGTCGCTCCTCTCCCGGCGGAACTTGTCTCTGCGTCTGCGGTCGTACTCATCGTCGCTGTCGGCCATGGTGTTTCAGTCTGGGCGAGAAGGTTTGCTGTGAAACACAGGAGAGTGCAGAGAAACCGGTTTATTAACGGCAGATTGTAACGTTATCCCGATTTCACACTGCGTCACTGGAGAGCGTTCAAATCACAGATCTCTAAAAACCGCCCAATTAACCGGCAAAACCGGCGTAACGTTAACGATCAAACATTCTAGATCTCCAAAGGACGTGTAACGCGATTCATAAAATAATCACAGACGCACGTGAAGAACACGAGGCAAGCGTTATGTAAGGAAAAGTCGCGCGCGTTCAGACAATCTTGGATTGTTATGACGTATAACGTTCAGTAGATGTTAAAAATTGGTGGTAAAACATAAAATAACAGCTTTATGACCGATACTCACCAGTTACTATGTTTAAAAGGCTCTGATCCGGCTAACTCCCGCCAGCGCTCGAGCGTCCTCCTGAACAACAACAGCGGAAGTGACGATCATATACAGCACAGCTGCGCCACCGTGGGACCGGATGACCGAAGTATAGTGAATTTCGAGTAAAAATAGAAGGATAATATGTATTTTTTGTACGTTTTATTTGTTATTTGCTTGTATTAAATATATATGTATACACAGAGAGAGAGAGAGCAACTGATAGTTTCCTATTACTTGTTTCGCTTCTGTTTCAGTTTTTATAACCATTTCTTACTATGTGTCAGTAAGTTGTTGTTATTTTAGCATGTGTGTTTGGCTCAGTGTTATTTTTAGGATTACTGATAAACTACTGTCGTTTGATTTGTATTATTTGTATTTGTTATTTATTTCAATTTTAGTTAAATTATGTCTGAATTTATTATGTCTGTATAGGTCTTTTATTAAGTTTTTGTTTTATTTAATTTGAGTTATTTTAA